TGTTGTGCAGTGCAGTGTATTTTAGTGTAGTATACTATAGTTTAATAAAGTGTAGTTTAATATAATATAGTATAGTATATTTTAATATAGTATAGTATAGTTTAGTTTAATATATTATGTTATAGTTTATTATAATATATTAAAGTATTTTATAGTATAGTATAGTTTACTTTAATAAAGTATAGTATAGTGTAGTCAAGCATAATGTATTGTTGTGTAGTGTACTATAGCTTACTGTAGCATGGTATAGTATTGTGTAGTTTATAATCGTAAAGTGTAGGGAAGTATGGTATAATTTATTATAGTTTAGCTTCCCTGTGATTTAGTAACCTTTTTGTATTTCTACAGCTGTTCCTCCGCCGCAGACCAACCCTTTATGTGGTGAATCTTTTGGTACCCAGCTGCTTCCTTGTTGCTGTGGATCTCTTCAGCTTCATGCTGCCTCCTGAAAGTGTAGACCGATCATCCTTCAAGATGACCCTGATCCTCGGCTACACCGTCTTCCTTCTTATTATGAATGACTTGCTCCCGGTACCAGGACAAAGAACACCTCTGATCAGTATGTGAAACCTTTGATTTGGTGTGTCAACATTTCTTCTGACGGTTCAACTAAATTGTAACTTTAAAATTTGAACTTCAGCTGCAGCTGCAAAACAAACTCATAGATATTGGATAAGTAGAGTACAAGCAGTGATATAAGAAAACTGCAATGAGAGGGTAAAGGTTACTAAAAGGAGACAGAGAGAGAATCTAGTTCAAGGTTAGGAGCATTAGGCTGTTTCTCTATTCAGATATAGTTTATCTTCCTTTCTTAATGTTGAGAAGACTGTTGGCTCAAAATCATCACTCATCCATGTTTCTACTGAAACCAACAAGCATCACGTTTATTAAATTGAAATACTTAATATAATTTGGAAGTTCTGAGTTAGCGGAAATAGTTTGGGACTTTGCTAACTTGAGTCATACTCTGCGTTAAAAAGACACACCTCTAGAATCAACATAACAGGTCAACAATTTGAATCCTGTACACGAGATGAGCAGCAGGTTGGTCTGGCTGTGGTCTAAACATTGTTTCCTAAAAGAGATTCTGACTTAAATGGAAACGAGTACCACCATAGAGAGAGAAGTGTAATGTATCCTCAATTTAAATAGAATATTTACCTCAGGATATATTTAACTCCCTGACGATAAATAAAGTCTGATTGACACCTCAGTTTATTGTCGGATGCTCTGATTTTCCCTTCAGATGTGTTTTTCTCCATCACTCTGGCTCTGATGGTGGCCAGTCTTCTAGAAACCGTCTTCATCACAAACATCCAGCACAGCTCCAGCCAGTACAGTGACGTGCCCCACTGGCTCAGTGTGCTGGTATTACGTTATCTTGCAATCATCGTATGTATTCCTCCCAAGAAAAAGAGCAACAGAGTAACAGTCCACCTCAATCCATCTTACAAAGGTAAATCACTTTTTTTTTAATAGATATATTTATTCATTTTTGTTCAATAACTACAACAACAACAGAGAACACAAGATGAGCGTGCAGTCCAGAGGAGACAAAAAGGTAACATAAGATAGGGGACATACATATTTCCATCATTATAGAGTCCAAATCTAAGTATTAATAAAGGTTTGAGATAGGATGAAAGGGCTTCAACATGCGTCCAAAAGCGTCAGTCTTAGAGTGAACGAGGCATGTTAGAAAGTCAAGAGAGGGATATCTTCCAAAATAAGATTCTTCCACCCAAAAATAGTAGGAGATATATTAGAAATTCATTGTAACAAAATATTATTAAGAGCACAGAAAATCAGGACATTATACAACTTACTCTTGTTTTAATCATGGATATGCTTATTAAGTAGACCAAGGAGAAGAGACACTGGATCAAGATAAACATTAGTTTTAATAAT